CACATTAAGATCAATTAATCAATTAATTATAAAATGAAAGCAGATGTTTGACATAGAATGTTACATTTTTAAGATATAACAGGTATATATAATTTATTAAACAGATATTTAGATGAGACTACTATAAATTAAACTATGAATATCACTTGAATAAAGAAATGAACATTAATTACCTTAACTTTATTTTTTTTAGCTTCTTCTTCATCTGCCATGGGTTCAATTTTAAAATCACATGGATCAATTATCCTTTCTTCTATTACTGGTATATTACCATCTTTCTTTTCATCCACATAAATGTAAGTTTCTGCTTTTGTATCCACAACATCCACAACTTCTTCAATTACTGGTAATTCTACTTCTGATGTTTCTACTATTTCTTCTACTTCCATTGGTTCAAGCTATAAATATAAAATTTTTTACTTATCTTGAGTAAAAATAATTGCTTTTTTAAAATTTATATGCTCCATAGTAACACTACCATTTGAATAAAAAAAATATATAATCATTTTAAGTGGCTTCATAGAATTTATATTTTAAACATGAAGTAGTTATTTTCTAATTTTCTTGTACAAATTTCTAATTGAGAAATTAAGTTCTATCTATCAATCTAAAACATGGGACTCTGTCTGGGATCTAACAAAGAGTCCTAATCTCTCAATAAGTGTACAGAAATTCAAGTCATTTAAGAAAATATTTTGTTATAAAAAAATGCATAAAATAGATCTGTCACAAAGGTATGAAATAAACAATATGGTTGACCCCAAGAGGTCATGAGTTGTTGTGAACTAACAGGTTGGAATGCTTAGAATGTCGATCAGAAAGATCGAGCTTTGACACCAATGCTCGTAGACATGACAAAATTTAGAAATAAATGAGAAAATGTAGCATTCCTTTAAAAGAAAAACTATTGTGTTGTAAATTATAAAAACAAATAATTAATGTGAGAAAAGAAAATATCATTATGTGAGATATGAGCAAAAGTTTCAAAGGTCAATCAACATTTGCAGACGAAGTCAAACGGAGGTGTCAAATTGATTAATGCAGAGTGGACTTTTCCCACACCTGATCTGGTTGTCTAATTTCACCTGGAAACAGAAATGGCTCAAATGGAAGGTAGAATGAGAAATTTGGGACCAATCAAATTCAGAATTTTGGGAAGAATCCTTTAAAAACCCCGAGATTCAAGAACAAGGTGGTTGCTTCTTCCTCATTCAGGATTCTTTGTTGCTTCACATAGGTTCTGCCACACTATGCAACGTCCTGCCAATTTGTCCAGAGCCACTGTTTGCTACAAAACTTTATCTCTGACTAATCACTGTTGGATTAATGATGACAGTGAACTTTCCACTTTGAACATTTTACATTTATTTTCATCCGAGAGAAGTGCTTGACCAGAAACATGTAAGCATTGCCTTCCAAATAAATGGTTTATGTAAGGCAACTGTCTCAGTGTCAACAACAATACTCACATTATGTTTGCACCCCTTGTTCATCTTGATAAGAAGGATTAACCTCCCCCTTCTCCCTATCAGCAAAGCTCACATTTCAAATGATTGTTAGGGTTAATAAATATCACTGTGACTTAAACTTATAAGGCATGAAAATAATTTTCATATTAATTTGTCACTATACTCATTGAAATGGAAAAAAAATTGTGTTTTATAAAAATGTTCCATACGCTCCCACATATCGATTTATCCATCCATCAAACATGAGCCATATTTTTGCACTTTAAGAGATGTTTTGTTATGAAATATACTAAATATGTCAAATTATCACCAACAAATACTAGAATTAATGCATATGCTATATTACACCCCATTTTCACATTTAACAATTGAACATTCATACAAAAATGGGGGTTTGAAAGGAAGCCCCTTTTCAGGGATTTATGCAAAATAGTAGTTACGTTACTGGAACAGCACACAAAAAATTCCTTTGCAACATCTGTTTACATGCAAGATATATCAATGATATTTTAATAATTTAGAAATCAAAAACCACATAGTTATTGTTATTAATAGTTTGCAAAAAATCTTCTATGATTTGAAACTAGTACTAGACCAAACGGAAAAAACAAAAGTGCACTATCCAGACCTAGAAATAGAGATCGTTGAGAATAAAATACTCACAAAAGTTTATCAAATTTATATGGGAAAAATTCTTTCGTTTAACAGGTATTTTGCATTACGAGTAAGATTCTGGAACAAATTATGCTCATTAAGCGAAGTTCCACTGTATTTGAAAAATCAAATTTTATTTGTTTATTCAAAATTTGAGACTATGCTTGACACGACATTAATAAAATATACATACAGGCATGTCAATTTCTTCTGATGCTATAGCAGGATTTACTCTAGCTTTCTTTTCTTTCAAATTTAATACCATTGCAAGCTGTAAATAATTAAAACCATAATCAACACATAATTATGAAAAATCAATTTGAAAATGTTTTCTTTGAATTACATACTTCTGGAATAGGAAGACAAGAAGGCCTATTACGACCGTATAAAATATAATACAAATCCACCGCTGCACATCTTATCCTCGAATCATGTGATGAACCACTACTATTTTTGAATAAAAATTATTTAAAAATTTAATTTAAAAGGTTTATTGTAACATGCAAGAAATATTAACTATACTTCATCAATTTCCATAATCTTTCTACTAATTCTTCTGTATTTAAGTGACTATGATCTTTCTTTGTGAATGGCGGATTTTCAGTCAGCATCCTAAGTGTATGATATCTAAAATTATAAATTTAAATGCAGTTATTTAGAAATACAATCAATTCTTTTTAGAAAACTTTTATATATTATACAAATTATTATTTTAATTCAAGCTAAGAAAATTATTATCAATAAATGAAAAATGAAACAGTGTAAATTTAAATATTAATTTCTAATAATATACAATAAAATCATGTTTTAATGGATTATGGAACTCTAAATTACCTTCCCACCCAAAGAAATAACATTATTTCCAATAATGGTTGCTTTTTACATTTTTCGAAAGGAACAATAAAAAGTGATACTGTAATAAATGTTTCACTTTGCTTACTAGAAGAAAATCTATTCTACTCAAAGATGGGTTCAACCTTTGATTGTAGATCAATTCAAACATCTGGTTTTAGTAGATTGTTCTATTGTACTCAGAATATAGGGGTTAAAGTTTAAGGACACCCACCCCTTTAAATGGATGCAGTCCCATGTAAATACCTGCTAGTTTGTATATTGGGGAGTGCATACAATGATGCCAGGTTTGGTTCCTTTTTTTAATCTTTTGATTTAAAAAAAGGAGTTGGTGCCTTGGCTACATGTGTACAGTTTTTTAACTCAAACTCGCATTATAGTCTGCACAATAGTTTCAGGACCAGTCAGAATAGTGCTTGGTGAAAGTAGTGATTCCATAAACAAAAGCAAAATTGGCAGTGATGTTCAACCATCTAAGCATTCTTTCAAGAATTCAATGGCCACAATAGACTCCATATGCCACTATCTGCAGTTTGAAATATATAAAGATGACATTTGCAAATGAAAAAACAAATATTTTTTACTTTTTCAAACAATCTTCAACAAAAAAATTATTACTGATTTCTTTTAGCTTTGCTATATTGACACTTTGATTTACTGCTCCATACTTAAACAAGTACTGTCTCCTCATTTTGTTTGATTTGAAGATGACCAAGACAAAACCTTTATCACTTGTTTCTAGCCGTTTATACATGAGTACGAATGTTTTCAGCCTTCTTCAGGTACACTGTCTGACAGTGTACCCGAAGAAAATCAAATAAAAAAGGAAACATTCTTCCGAGTACAATAAAATAATAACATTGTTATTTGATTGACTTAAAATCAGGACTAAAGTTTTCATTTACAGTGCATTAAAACAATTAGCAGCTTATTAATTAACATTAGTTGTAGTAGTAGTAGTTGTTAGTGTGGGCTACACTGACAGTCTACCTTGCCTAATCTTAAAAATAACACCTACCTCTCAAATTACACTGATTAACATCTGCTTTGTGTGCAAGTTGAGCTAATTTACAGCAAATTTCTGAAATTTGATATGCTTATTTTTGCATTCTTGGATTGAATTACAATAAAATGAACATTAAAAAAAGCACTTTTAGCATTCCACAAGTATTTTACATCGTTAGAAAGACAACAAAATGCAGAAATTAAACGTATAATCATAGTTTTTAATGTAGTGCTGACAGTTTCACAGTTTTAGAATAAAGCTCATTTGTTTCTTTTATGCACCCTCTAGAAAGGGATTCATAACCTCACTTAAAGTGGCATGCACTGGCATACTGAGTTTTTACCATATTGTAATATCTAATTTCATGGTCTCCCCGGATAGACCAGCATGTCAGTCTATCTGCAAAAATACAGTATTAATGCACGTTGACTGTATTACTGTCTTTTTATGCTCTCAGAAAACTACTGTATTCTGAATTTTAAAATAAGAGGTGTTGATCAAGATAAAGTTGATGTTTTAGAAAAATCAGGAGTATATGCAGTACAACTAGAAAATCCAATAACCGGATAACTGACAGGTATATAGGGGCAGCGACAAGAATGCTTGCTTGCTGTATCACAGAACATCAGGAGGATATAAACAAAGAAAGACAGACCACAGAGCTCGCCAGAAAAGTTCTACAGCAGGGCTATAACCCACTATGGTCAAAAACAGCATTGCTCAAGCGCTGTAATAACAGAAGGATTACATTTATTTGGGAAGCGCTCCTCACAATGACCATAGATGCATGCAACATCCCCACCCTCAACTTGCCCAAAATATGGGTTACTTTATACCAGCGCCAAGAGTCTCACAATTAGCATGATCGCTCCTCAATGCATGCGCTGCCAGTTGCGTGGATTTAAGAACTTTCGAACACCCGCAAAAGCTTGTTGCACGTTACCAACGGAATTACCGAACGTTATAATTTAAAAATTGCCAAGAAAATTTTTCCATTTTCTACTTGAAACACTCTGAATGTTCTATTTCTTCAAATTTGTTCTTTTTCACCTGAGGACATCGAACTTATACTCGTCGAAAGTACTTGAGAGATAAAAACTATGTTAACACTGAACTCAGTGCTTGTTATCAAGAAGAGGTGTTATATTATTTCAACAAAATCTTTATGAAATTCTCATTATTTTTATAGCAACATTTAAGTAATTACTACTTCAAATAAAATTTATTACAAAATTCTGGTTATTACCTAACTTCAGGGACTGGATCATTTTCAATAATATCCATTAAAAAATTTAAATCTTCAGATTTTCCATCAGCTATAAAATCAGTTAACATTTATATTACACATTATTTTTTAAATATGTACATATTTTTTAAAAGAATATTTAAATAATAATAATAACCATACTACAGATATACTTCACAGGCAGTATTAGAAAAAAATGACACACACAAAATATAGTATAAGAGAGCCATAATCACAGATAAAACAATTCATCACAATAGATCTGACAGATGCTCAGAATGTTATTTGTGTTACTTTAATAACACACACAACATTCTGAGCATCTATTTATGCATTTAAGGAAAATATCTCTGAACAGTAATCATTTTAACATTGAGATTCAAAATATTTTATATAATAATTAAATTTTATGTAGAGTAATTCATATCTGTACAAAATAATTTAAAAGTTAGATAATTATAATATTCACATTGCAAAGTATCAAAAATCACTAATTCTTCAGCTTTATTAAAACAGTTTTTTTTAAATATTAACATAGATAATATTAAAAAAAAATACTTTACATTGTCTAATATCTCATTTATGTGATTTTTCTCTTTTATTCTACTAAAGGAGAAAATAATTGATAATTCTTCCATATTAACATTAATTATTGACAACTGAGGAAGATAGGTGAAACTGATGAAAAATGTTTTCATTTTTTATTAAATTAATTTGGATTTATAAAGAGGTAACTTTTTTTGTTAATTATTGATGTATTGTTTTTTTTTTGCCTTTAATTTCATTAAACTTTTCTTATACCAGTTATTCTTAAACCAGTTATTTAACTGGTTTAAGTTATAAGAAAAGTTAATCCTTTAGTGGTTTAAGTTATTTTCTCTGTATTTAACTGGTTTAAGTGAAACATTTAATTATTGACTTCCATAATTCTAAAATATTTTGATATGGCTTTTAGAAATTATTTGCACTGTTATATTTGTGATGAAGCAATTCTTCAATAGCAAATGAAGATGAAAATGCTAGAAATGACGACAAATTGCTATTCAAAGATGTGTGGGATTTTTAGGCCACCTCTTGTTGTAACAAATTTAATGAGCATATGTATAAATGACAAAAAATAATCTTATTTTTACACCAGCAAATAACTTTAATGAATATACAAACATTTTCCACCTATTAATAGGTCTGCATCAGATCAATGCTTTTATATTTATCAGGGCTGTGGAGTCGGAGTTGTGGAGTTTTGATGTTTTAGCCGGAGTCGGAGTCATAAAAAAATCCACCGACTCCGACTCCTTTTTACTTCCCGACTTGTTATGTATATAAAACGGAAAAGTATTGGAATTGCATCAAATTTGACCCTCCAACTTTTTTTTTGCAAAAATACACATTTTGAGACCTCCTGAACCCCTCAAAAGAGTCAATAAAAGGACAAAAATTCGTGCGCGTGTGTTGGCATCTAATTTGTTTAATTTCTTTATTTTCTGTTCTGAGATATTGTTTAATATCTCAGAACAGAAAATAAAGAAATTATTTTATATATAAAGAAATTAAATATTTTTTAAACTTTACCCATGAGATATTAAACAATATCTCAGAATGGGTAAAGTTTAAAAAATGAAATGTGGCACTGTAGCTTGCATATAAAGGGGCATTAATACTATTAAATTTTGGTTCTTAATTAAAGGTCAACAGGGTAAAGACATAAAAGTGGTCATGTGTCATCTCTCTTAATGAATACAGTATTTTATTCGTTATTAGCGTTCAAAATAAAAAAAAAATAAAAAATAAAACTCGTCTCTACCCTCAAAGTAAGCTTTTTAGCCATTTTATAATAGTACAGTAAAACCCGTTAAGATGTTCTCACCTGAGATGTTAGAATGTGCATGGGGACACGATTTAGTTCAACCACTTTGACGCTTAATAACTAACTCCTGTGTTAAACCATCTAACTCCGATTCTGACCACTCTGACCACAGAAATTATTAGGGTTCAAACAGAGTGAACAAAATCATGCCCCCCACACACAGTCTAACATCCATACATATAGGATCTTTTGCATATCTTGAAATTTCAAGGTGTCCCGAGTCCAAAATTGTAAAAATTTGGGAGGGGTCATTTTTTGACCGAGTACTACACTTTCCATCTGTTATATATAACAGAGGAAAAAGCAGAAATTATCAAATACATATTTATATATTACTCAGAGGAGTCTTTTAGCTTTGGAATAAAAAGTTTCTACGTTCTATCTTTATTAGAATTCTATTTATTGAATCTTTTATTCTGAGGTCACGTGATGACATCAGAATTTCTGGGTCTCTTTCGGTAACAAGTCTGCCCCTTGCGGAGTCGGAGTCGGTAGATTTTTACGCGACTCCACAGCCCTGATATTTATACAAAGTTTGAATTTTGTAACATTTGTGTTAGAACTCTCATACACTCTAAAAACAAAATGTATAACTACATTGATCTGATGCAATAAACCTATCAGAAGGTAAAAAATGTTTATATATTCACTAAAATTATTTGCTAATGTAAAGATAAAGTTATTTTTTATGACACTCATCAAATCCAGCTTTTGTGAATAGTTTTTATAAGTACAAACTGCAATCAATCCATTGCTGAACATCAATAACATTTGAAAATGTATAATTTATATTTTGAAATGAAAAGATTTCAGGCTTCACAATATCTGCAAATTATGCTGTTCTTTCATTTAAACCCTTAAAAACTGTCCATTTTTGATTCTGTGCCTATGAAGACTTTTGATCAGGACCACTAGAACTACAAAATGTCAAAGATTCAGCCAAATCTGCTGAAACCATTTCCTATAAGTTCTCAAAATTTAATTATATATATACCAAATATTCAGAAAAATTGATTTGTTCACATGACATACCTTTAGTAAAATCAACTAGTGCTTCTAATGAAGCAAGTCTAACTTCAATAAAATTTCCATATGCAGAATATTCTTGAAATAATGTTGGATTACTTGGCAAATGGCCCATCATTTGCAAACGTCGAATTGCTCTAAGACAACTAAATAAAAACAAACAATAATAATTCTTTATACTGTTATACTAATCAAGACATTTTATATAAATTTAAAATGAATAAAATTTATATTTATTGCATCTTTGACACTGCTCTGACTACCTTCAGTAGCCCAATCTTAATGTTTTGCATCACTTTCATGTGTTATAATTTACAAGAACTTTTTAATAATAACTGATTAATTAAGTTGACTAGTAAATTTTTAAAATATTACTTGGTTATTTAAAGAATAACCAATGGTAAAGCTTAATAAAATATTAACAAACAAATCATTAAATGCCAGATTATTATGGGCTAACTAACTAGCACGCTGTTAGTTGATAGTATATAGTGTGTATGTAAATATAAACAAAAGTGAAATCTATTTCCAACTCATTAAGGTATATTTATATGAATTACATTTTATATATTATTTTTAAGCTTATTTGATGTATATTAGCCCTATTAAATCTATTTTTCTGTTTAATTTCATTTAAAATAATTAGAAGCAAAAATGTGCCTTTGCAAGTTTTTATTCTTCCTGTTAAGGCACTCCTCCCTACCATTCCAGCTATTGAAGTTAACACTGTCCATAAAAATGCTTCTGAAAATAACTTTGGAAATCAATGAATGCCAACTCAATTATTTTTTAATTTTATGTTATTAACAGAAAGAGTATTGTAAATTAAATTTTAATCTGGAGGACTGATATTATTCAAATAAAATGGCACCTAAGCAAAGAATAACTCTTACAGGGAGGCAAGAAAGAAACTAAAAATTGCATGCAGGAATGAATACCTGTGAAGATACTTATACAAAAACTGTTGTATATTGAGAAATTTTGTGTGTCTTATATTAAGTAGAAAATTAAATAAGCATATAAATTTATAATGTGTAATTTAACAACAATTTTTTATAGCAAACATTTTGCTAAATACAACTAGTATTAAAAAAAAATGTAATTTAAAATAATATGGAGCCAACTAATTATAATAAACATCTTTAAAGGCAAGCAGATGACTTATTAATTGATGAATAGATATTCTTGTTTATCTGAGCATCATTCACTGTTCACAAATGATATCCAAGTTTCGAAACTGTGTTGTAAGAATAGAAGAGTCATAAAATTTGTTGGAAAATTTCTTAACATGAGTATTTGGTATGATGTTATATATATTCAAATGTTATACTCTCTCATATAAAGCAGAAATTATTATTTAATTTGACAAGATGACAACAAAATTTCTTCAATTGTTCACTAATAAAATAATAATTCACATTTTTTGTGAAAATTCTGTGGGTGAATCTTATCATTAATATAAATATCTTACATAAAAACATACCTTAGAAAATCAAAATTTCATCGAATTACTTTTCATTTTCAGTGAGCACACTTAAACATTTTATCAATTAACAGTAATGATTCTAAATTGACTTAACTAATTTCAAACAATTATTTCATTGAAAACATACTTTTAAAAACAAATAAATATACATCTAATTTTCTACAGTGTATAAAATATAATTACCTAACTGTAACTGTATATTTATAACACGATAACAATTTTTCTAAATTAAGGCATCGAGTAATTTCTTCCAATATGAGCTTTGTATCTGACGAAAGAGAATCAGCAGATACAGGTTGTCTATAAATCAAGAAAAAAACTCATGAGACATCAAAGCATTTAGATTATTTAATAAATCAATTATTCTTACCCTGTCTGAGTAATAACAGATAAAATAGGTGTAACAGTTTCACCAAGAGCTTCTATTAAAGCACCTCTGTAATAATTGTCACAATACTGAAAATGGATAAAGATAATATATTGTCAATTATTAACAAGAGAATTTTAAAACAGATGAAAAATAGATTTAGTTTTTGAAAATTTTGAAATAATTATGAGTGAAACTTCTAAAATTATTAAAAAAATATAACTTTTTAAATTAAAAGTTCAGTAAACATTTTCTGTTTGTATGTTATAACAAATGAATGGAATTATGTAAATGTCTTTTACAAAAGACCTAAGAATAGAAAATAATGTATATTTAATTCTATCAAATTGCAAAATCCGCAGGAAACAGCTAGTCTTTACATATAAGTTCTTTATGGATCTAGAACTAGTGATGAAAATGAGTTGTTAGAACCAAATTTTTTTGAAAATAACATCACTTTTAAAAACCAAACAGGACATATGTGGTCAATGTAATGTAATGAGCTCGAAGCAAGCTAAGCAATTTAATTTATCTTTATCTATGTCCATGTCCAAGAGGATAATTTATAATAGCAACAACTAGCTAGAGAGAAACAATATATCATGTTTAAATTCAGAACAAAAATAATGTAATTTTTTATTTTCTCAACATGAAATTGAATTAACATCAAATCCAATACACACAATATTCAGAGGGTATTAAAATATTCTAATTGCCATGAAAAGATGAAATTTCTAATTCTAAGAGGAACATGGAATGTTCCTCTTAGAATTAGAAAATTCACATATTAGTCAAATCAGCAAATATTAATCACATATTAGTCAAATTGTAAGGAACCAAGTCCGAGCATTATTTTTATTTACTTTTATTTTTGCTTTTTATTATATTTTTGTTTGGGGCTTATGTTTTGTTAGGACGAAGGTTTCCTCACCATTCACCTTAGAAACTTAAAATTAGAATTAGAAAATTCACATATTAGTCAAATCAGCAAATATTAATCACATATTAGTCAAATTGTAAGGAACCAAGTCCGAGCATTATTTTTATTTACTTTTATTTTTGCTTTTTATTATATTTTTGTTTGGGGCTTATGTTTTGTTAGGACGAAGGTTTCCTCACCATTCACCTTAGAAACTTAAAAATAGAAGAGAAACCAACTCACCAACGAGAGAAAAGCGCCGTAGAAAAAACTCACGCACACTTGCGTTCCCGAGCGGAAAAAAGTAAGTCCGCACCGAGAAAAGGGGGGAGACCCCACAAGCACAACTTAGGGACTCGCTAAACCTTAAAGAATAAAAACATCCTGAAAATTGTCAAAAAGAATAATGTAAAAGGTTAGCGAGTATTGTCGGAAAATAGGCTGCCAGACAAATAGAAAAAGTTTATTGTTAGCAAATAAGTATGTAAATGAGGGGAGTGATCGCATTCAGAATTGTGACGTCACCTCACAGTATAAAGACTGAACCTCAAGTGAAGACGGACGAGGTGAGCTTCTGATAGCAACGAGCTTGGTGAGCTTCGTAGCAGTGAACGAGAGAGGTGTCCGATAGGATCAAATAGTTCCAAGGCGATTTTGAAGTTATTCGATTTGTGGATCGACGAATAGAGAAAGTCTTGAGAGTTGAGGAAATAGGTTCCTAGTATATTGAGGTGACGATTAGGATCTTTAATTCATAAGAATTATTGTATATAAGTTAAGTCTTTGAATTTTGTCGAATTCCAAAGGGGAATAGATTTAAATTAGAAACTAGATTGATTTGAGTTTTGTCGGGTTGATTCTTATTGATTTTCATTGAATAAATTGTTGTTTGATTTTTACTAAATTTTGTAAATAATTATTATTAGAATTATTTATTAAATCTTTGATTTATTATTGATAAATTTGGTCATTATTTAATTCGGTGCACGCTAAAAGTCCAGGCCTGGCACGTTAACGCGAATCCGCGTAAAGTACCCGTTAGGTAACGGCTATTTCCGGCACACAGTCGTGTCGATAATCATTGTAGAGGGCGGAAAAATAATCTAGTACTTTACAAAATCAGCAAATTTTCTTGCATGACAATCCTACCATCAATAGACAATTGAAAATACAGGAGAGAGGAGGCACTATTACGAGAGAAGTTCCTCAAATTTTTCTGTCACACAATTGCTGTTTTCTCTGGTCATCTTGTTGATTGGAGTAGAGTTCATCAACCCTCATAATTTTCTTCCCTTGAACAATCCAATCAATGCTGGTCACCTTCACATTCTTTCTGTAATGGCACCGAAAATAGAGAGTCCTTCTCTCAACCACGAGTCAATATATACCACGTCCTGCTCTCCCCAGGTCCATTGCCCCCAGGCAATGGACTGGAGAGAGCAGGACTGGGGACTGTTTCATCAGTTTTAAAACAAAACTGCTTGTGGGATTACGCAAAATCACAATGGCTTACAGCAGGAAGAAAGTGATATGCTAAGAGCTACTGTTGAGAACACAGTAATGCAATGTAACTTGCTTATCAAAAATGATGGACACCACATTGAACATGCTCTGTAATGCATTTTAAAACGAATTAAAAACATTTTCAATGATGTCTTCATGTCCTATTTCATTTAACAATATTGCAGACAGTGCCATTTCCCATTGGTGGTGAGTTTTTGAACTTTTTTTTGTGGGAAATAAGATCCCATTATGTCCTGTACACTATTACCAAGTTTGATAACATTCTGTCCAGTAGTTTTCATTTTATGGCCATTTCAAAATGAACTTTAATTATAAACACCCTGTACATAATCATAAAAAATGTAGGCTTAAATCAGTTCGAGAAATGATTTTTGAAGAAATAGTAAGTCAGATACTACAAGATATAAAATCATCAATTTTTCACTGAATGATGAATTATTATATGCATCAACTTGAAAGTAACTGAGAAAACTAGAGTACAGTGGGTGATCGGTTAATGAACAGCTCAGTTAACAAACAAATCAGGTAACGAACACTTTCGTGAAAGATTTTTACATTCGGACAACGAACACCTCACAGAATACACATAAAAAGCAATGACGTAAAATAATGAATACCAATTGGTCTTCTCTTGTCTTCAGGAAACAATTCAAAACTTTTTGGAGCGCAGGAAACATCGGCATCGACGCTCAACCCGGTATATACTGGTCAGATAGTATTCCTCCAAACTTCGAAACTAATTTTATAATTCCAGCCTTTTATTTTTCTGACAGAAACAATTTTTTTATAGTATTTGCGAGACTGTCAGGTGGGCACTCATTAAGTTTTGTGTCAGTTTTTATTTTCAAAAGGTGAGAGTATAATAGCAAAGGTAGAGAGTGGGCAGATGATGTCTGATGTTGCTGGGCAGTATAGCTTGAACAGGTCTACAGTAGGCTGCAGTTCAATCTTATCTAAGAAAGTTACTGTATTATCAAGAAGACTCAAGTAGCTTAAGGAGTAACAAAAATCACATCTGAGAAATAAAGAACATTGAAGAGCTCATAATGGAACCTGAAACTGATCTGACAACAGAACACCACCAAGAACTCTTGAATGAAGAACACCAAGAAACTCGGCGAAATATGTTTTCTTCTGAAAAAGAGAATTAATGTCGATATCTGCCATTAGACATTTTTTTTTGAAGAAGTGGGATAATGTCAGAATGACAGTCTTAGAATGGCATCCAAACCAGGATGAGATTATAGGCTTGGAGACTCTACAATTACAATGCTATTAATTACTTCTGAAAAATCCTGAAGAAGAGAGAAAAAGCAATGGACATTAGACAGATTCTTTAACTCCCACAAACAGAAAAAACATGACTAATAAAAATGCAAGACAGTGTGTATACGTATTTTTATTATTACATATAAATAAACATAGTAAGAAAGTATATATATTTTATTTTTTGGGGTCTCCAGAACAAATTAATCAAATTCCCATAAAAACCTATGGTAAATCGATAATTGGTTAACGAACAATTCAGATAGAAAACAGTCTTGGAATGGATTTTGTTCATTAACCGATCACCCACTGTATATATGAGGACTATTTCAATAAAAGTGATTACTCAATGATACTGTCCATTGTTTAACTCTTGTAGCAAAAATGAATCATGCATCATGTAACAGCATCATTTCTGCCTCTATATGTGAAATGTCCTAGATTGTCTACAGATTGACATTTGTTGGCATCACTGTGCTGACTGTTGCCCTTAATCATGCATGTAAAATTTATTTTTTAGCCCTAACATGACCAAGAACATTACCAATCATGTTGAGTCCTGCATTGTGTGTCAATAAACTCAGAACCTGTGGTAAGGAACTAATCCTACAAAATCAAATTCTGAACTCTGAACTTCCTTGGATAATGCAACATCAAATTTGCTTAAGTTTCAGCAAATATACCATGTATTGAATATTACTAGTTACTTAGACTTTTCTGATCTTAGTATATTATTCTCATTTGATTCTGAAGCAGTTATCATTGAATTGAAGAAATGGTTTCCTATTCGTGTAATTCCACATATACTTAAAACTCAATGGAACTGATTCCAAAGAATTTACACAGTTTGCTGAAGTATGGGAGTTTCAGAATAATACATCTAACAGTCACTTTTCATATGCAATGAATTAGCCTTGAAGAGTGATCAAACAGATTAATAATTTACTTTGAAGTCAGAAAGATATTTTTGCAGCATTTCTCAATCTATCAAACATTTTGCAGTATTGGGTATGCCAGCTCAAAGACTGTTTAGTAGATGGATACACAACCATTCTTATTGAAAGTTCTTTTCAGCAGTTGGCCTACCAAACATTTCAGAAGCCTTAAAGAAGGCTTGAGAACTCCAGAAGAATTATTCCAATCACACATCCTGTCTGTATAAACCTACTACTCACTTTCTATGCATTCTGTAACATCACCATCATTGGGAACTGGTCATGGTAGCCCAAGTTAGACATTAGAAGTAACAGTATGTTATAGCTTTACTGATTCAATAACACAGCAGTTAACATAAAATTGTTGACTTTGTGTAAACATCTATGACTTTTGGTTTATCTTTTAAAGATAATTTCCTCCAAATGTCTTCTTCATTATTACCCG